CCTGTAGCATTCTGCACATACACTGTACGTGATGCCCAGTACCTTGGCGTCCAACGAATTTTTCTGTTTCGCCCCGCGCTTCGGCGTGTGGCTCCGCGTACGGTAACGTCATAATCAACCACTAATGGTTTCGACCCACTAATGACCGTCTAATTGCCCACAATTGACCTGCGACCCCCTAATGGCCTACACACGACCTTCGAAGGGCTCGCTTCTTCTCGAGCTCTCGAGCTGTCCCGAGTGTCGATGCCAATGGTGCACAATCAGGTGGTCACTAGCGTGCCATTAGCGAGGTCCGAAGGCTCTGTGAGGCAGGGCCTTTGTCGCAACTAAGAAAACCATTCGTGTGTAACCATGTGTTCGTTAAAGGTCCGTTCGTAGGGTTAAAGGTACTGTGAGGCGGGGCCTTTCACGACAACTGGCGTTTACTAAGCAGACCCGGGCGTCTACTGATCAGTCTTGTCCTGTTCGCTTCCTTCCATGGGTGCGTATACGAAAGGGCTTCGCTGCCAGGGATGCTAATTGTGAGGGTGTCTTCTCAGCCCTCTATGTAGGTGCTCGGAACTAGCGAGTGCCCTTGTGCGGGCTGATCTGTACAGGCGAGACAGCTGAATTTTGAAAGCATCTGGTCTCCGATTCTTTGTCAGCCCTGGACCGTCGGGGTGGCCGAACGACCACCGCGGTGAGTGTGCAGCGTCTGCTGGGCGAAGTGGCAGGGCAAGCTGGCAGGACGTGTGCCGTGACGCTGGGCCCCTGGACCGAACTCATCGGTCGCTTAGTTTGGCCTGCTTCTGCATCCCGAGAGATTCCATTTGTACATTCGGCGCCTTCCGATCCCAAGGGCCGAGCGGTTGCCCCTCTTCCCTCCTCCAGCGCGGGCGGAAGCCCAACCTAAGGAGGAGGAGGAGGAGGAGGAGGAGGAGGAGGAGGAGGAGGAGGAGGAAAGGAGGAGGAGGAGGAGGAGGAGGAGGAGGAGGAGGAGGAGGAGGAGGAGGAGGAGGAGGAGGAGGAGGAAGGAGGAGGAGGAGGAGGAGCAGGAGAAGGAGGAGGAGGAGGAGGAGGAGGAGGAGGAGGAGGAGGGAGGAGGAGGAGGAGGAGGAGCAGGAGAAGGAGGAGGAGGAGGGAGGAGGAGGGGGAGGAGGAGGAGGAGGAGAGAGTCAGCGCCTGCCCGCTTCCTGGCTGCGTCCACCTCCTGCGACCTCCGGGCGCAGCCCGCGGCCTCGGACGAGGCCGGGGCGATGCCCTGCCGGCGCCCGCCGGCCTCGCAGGCTCTGCCTCGGCTCCCGCCCAGGCCCTCGGGGCGGGCAGGGCGCAGCTGGAGGGTTTCTCCGAAGGGCTCAGGCGACCCCTCCTCCTCCTCCTCCTCCTCCTCCTCCTCCTCTCCTCCTCCTCTCCTCATCCTCCTCCATCCTCCCCTCCTCCCCTCCTTCTCCTCCATCTCCTCCCCCCCTCCACCTCCTCCTCCTCCTCCTCCATCTCCTCCTCCTCCATCTCCTCCTTCTCCCCTCCCCCTCCTCCACCTCCATTTTGGCTCAAGAGTGCTTTGGCCTTCTTGCTGAGGTGGCCCGCCGCCTCCGACGGCCCTTCGAGACTAGAGTTCTGCAATGGCGAAGCGCGCGAGCGAGGCACCCCTTGGAGGTCGTCGGTGCGGCTTCATGTCTGACGATGAAGGTGAACTGTGCGGAGGAGCAGCGGCTTCCACATCGGCCCCTGTGGCCACCGCAGGCATGGAGCCGTCCAACGCCATGCTGCTGGATTTCATGAAGGGAATGGACAGGAATGTTAAGGACCAGCTGACGCTCATCAGGACCGGCGTCAAGAGAGTCGATGACAAGGCGGACATGGCTCTGGCGGCCTCCAATCGTGCGGAGACGGCGGCCAATGAGGCCATGAGAATTGCGAGAGATGCTGCCGCTGGGTCGAGGCCAGTGTCGAATGCGTCATCGGCTGCATCGACCAGGGCGCCAGGGCGTCATCGGCTGCATCGATCAGGACGCCAGGTGATGATGCTCTGAAGATCGTGATTGGAGGTTTCGCAGATGCGTCTGAGAAATATGAGATGGCGCCATACCTGGATGCAGTGCAAGCGCTGGTGGAACCTGGTGCGGTATTTTGGCGGTGGTGTGTGAGTCCTTGGAATCATGCTGCCTTCTACATGCGAGATGATCGTGCTGTGTGGGCTTTACTGAGTAAGCATCGGGAGAAGGTCGAACGTGATGGGCTGGGAGGGGCCAGCCAGGGCAAAGGTGCGTACACGCCGGCGCCGATTCCAGGTACCCCTCAGCTCTCCACTCTCGACCTCCTGGATGAAGAAGCACCAGTCTTTGGAGCAGAGGGCACTTACTTCACTTTTGGTGAACATGGCTGCAGTCCTGAGCAAAGTTGACGGCAGGAACAGGAAGCTCATGATCGTGCTCCCGCAGAAGGGATCCGACTGCTTGGGCCAGTGGGCAACAGGCCAGTGGTCGCCAATATCAACAGGGACGGAATGCCGACACTCATCAAGGACAACTTCTCAGAGGAGTTCAAGGCGTCCCCGATGGTCAAGGATGCCATTGTTCAGCAGTTTCTGGACATGATCACACAGTCGCAGGAGGACTCCAGGCAATCTCGTT